GGTTGAAGAAACTTCTGGAAGAATTACACATCACAATTAAGTTACCACTCAAACTTTATTGTGATAATAAAGCAGCGATTAACATTTCCCTTAATCCAGTTCAGCATGATCGAACTAAACATGTGGAGGTAGATAGACATTTTATTAAAGAGAATGTGGAAAAAGGAACTATTTGTATGACCTATGTTCCCACACAAGCACAAACTGCAGATATTTTCACCAAAGGACTATCGAGACAGAGATTCGATGATTTCATCTTCAAGTTGGATATGATTAATATTTACGACCCAACTTGAGGGGGAGTGTTGAAATCACGTAATAATAGGGGTCAAGATTAGGAATGATTTGAGATGATTTATCTTTCCATGTGTGGAATATTGTAATCTTTTAGATTGTCGACTTATTTCTTTCCTTATATTTTTTCTTTCCTTGTACTATAAATAGATGTATTGAGTTGTAAATTAATAAGAAAGATACATTCAACTTTCTCTTCACTGCCCTTGCACAAATATCAGCTAGAGTATCCAAGAGTCGTTCATCGGGTTTCAAGGGTGAGGGAACTGAAGAAGAATTAGGCTCTTCTCATTCCTTTTCCATTCCACACCTCTCCTTTATTTCATTCCAGAGAAGAAGGGCTTCTCCCTGCTTTATGGCAAATGCAATCCCGTTGGCAAGACTTCCATACGTGGCCACATTTGGATAGAAGTCGGTATCTTTCATCCTCTGAATTATAATTTTAGCTTCATTAATCAGTCTTTAGAATACCTTCCCTCGACATATTCCAGGAAACTAAATCAACTTTCACCCAAGGATCATTAAGCACTTCATCAAAGAATTTGTTAGCTAGCTTTGGGTGACCAGACAAGGCAAAAGCTTTCATCAAGGTGGTATAACTGGATTTTAGTAGGAGCAATACCTCTTTATCGCATCTCATTGAAGAAAGCGAGCGGCCCAGCACTGTTATTGACCAGTATACATCCATCAATCAATGTGTTATAAGAAACCACGTCGGGTTCAATCCCTACATCTAGGGGTGGGCACGGGTCGGGTCGGGTCGATTTTTGCCTCAACCCAAATCCAACCTAACATGATCGGTTTGATCAAAATTTAATCCAACCTAACCCGTGTAAATGTTGAAACCCAATCCAATCCAACCCAATCAAGTATCGGTCGGGTTAGGTTGGTCAGTTTGGAATGACTTGTTAACAAAAATTAAAGTCATCCAATT